CTAACATGTTAATATGTCATCCTCTTTTTGCTGGAACATGTTCTCTTATGAGAACAATAAGCTTTTCAAAATGTTTTGTTGTGGATTTTTGTTTTTGTTTGTTTGTTGGCTTGTTTTCACCTCAGCGAAGATGCATTCATATGTGTAAGCCTAGGCACGATAGTTCCTAAGAGCACAACAGAATTCGTTTACTTCTAAAGGGCTGATTCATCATTGCTAGCTGCTGGCTTTGTTTGTTGCCTGGGAATCGAATTCAGGAACTGCACAATTATGAGTGTTTTCATGAAAGGACACATACATGTTCTATAATTTTATTTACCATTTCCATATTACTTCATCAGGATTGCTCCATTTGCCTCTGTGTGCTCTGGGAGGGATGGCTCAGTCTTAAAAGTTATCATACATGGCAAGGAGATCTTTGCTAATCATTTGATTTTTAAGTGAATTTCATTTGCAGTATCTGGACTATCTCACTCTGCTCTGAATTTTCCCAGAGCAATTTATTTGCATCTCTTTTATGACCTTTAGTATGTGTTGTGGGCTGAATTATGTTCCCTCAAAATTCATGTTGATGCAGATGGCCAATAGGCACATGAAAAGATGCTCAATATCCCTAATAATTAGAGAAATGCAAATCAAAACTACAATGAGGTATCACCTCACACTGCTCAGAATAGCCATCATCAAAAAGTCTACAAACAATAAATTCTGGAGAGGGTGTGGAGAAAAGGGAACACTCCTACACTATTGGTGGGAATGTAAATTGGTGCAGCCACTACTGAGAACAGTATGGAGGGTCCTTAGAAAACTAAAAATAGAGTTACCATTTGATCCAGCAATTCCACTCCTGGGCATATATTTGGAAAAAACTCTAATTTGAAAAGATACTTGCACCCCAATGTTCACAGCAGCATTATTTACAATAGCCAAGACATGGAAACAACCTAAATATCCATCAACAGATTAATGGATAAAGAAGATATGGTGTATGTATGTGTGTGTATATATATATATATATATATATATATGTATGTATATAATGGAATATTACTCAACCATTAAAAACGAATGAAATAATGCCATTTGCAGCAACATGGATGAACCTAGAGATTATCATATTAAGTCAAGTAAGTCAGACACAGAAAGACAAATATCATATGATATCACCTATATGTGAAATCTAAGAAAATGATACAAATGAACTTATTTACAAAACAAAAATAGACTCACGGATATAGAAAACAAACTTATGGTTACCAAAGGGGATAACAGTGTGTATGTGGGGGTAAGTTAGGAGTTTGGGATTAACAAATGCACACTACTATATATAAAATAGATAATCAACAAGGACTTACTGTATAGAACAGGGAACTATACTCAATATCTTGCAATAACCTACAATGGAAAAGAATCTGGAAAATAATATATATATATATATATATATATATATATATAAAGCAGAATCACTTTGCTGTACACTTGAAAACTAATACAACATTGTAAATTATACGTCAATAAAAAAAATTCATATGTTGAAGTCCAAATCTCTAGCACCTCAAATTATGGCTGTATTTGGAGACAGGGTCTTTAAAGAGCTAATTAAGGTAAAATGCAGTCATTAGGGTGGGCCTTAATTCAATATGACTGGAATCCCTATTAGAACAGATTAGGATGCAGGCATGCAGAGAAGGAAGGCCATGTGAAGACACAGGTAGAAGGCTGCCATCTGTAAGCCAAGGAAAGAGGCCTCAGAAGAAACAAACTCTGTCAACACCTTGAGCTCAGACTTCTAGGCTTCAGAACTGTAAAACAATAATTTCTTTGCTTAAGCTGCCCAGTCTATGGTACTTCGTTATGGCAGCCCTGGAAAACAAATATCGTATGCCACCTTGGGCAACAGTTATTTATGCATATATACTAGCTCCTAGATATTAACCTTACGAATTCTTTGGAATCAAAGTCCATGTCATAAATATTCATGTCCTCTACAATGCACTCCTTTGCAGACAGTACATATTTAATAAATATAAACTCAGTGAATACATTTATTAATTAATTATAAAATATGGAAATGGTATGAGATTTATCTACAAAAATATTTTGAAACAAGCTTAGAAATACACGTTTAAAAAGACATTTATTTAAATACAGTACTAAGGAAAAGGATTTAATGGTATTATTATCTTTTGCAATGAATAATACCTATTATCATGCTATGATCTTCAGAGGGATTTAATATATGTGATTATTATATTAGTTTCCTAATTGCTGTAACAAAATAGTGGCTTAAAACAACATGAATTTATTCTCTTACAGTTCAAGAAGCAGAAGTCTAAAATCAAGGTGTTGGCATGACCAGTTCTTTATGGAGGCTTTAGGAGAGGGTCTGTTTTCTTCCCTTTGCCGTCTGCATTCTTAGGCTTCTGGCTCCTTCCTCCATGTGCAAAGGGCATCTCTCTGACCTCTGGTTCTGCCATCACATCTCCTTTTTCTGATTTTGGTCCTCCTACCTCCCTCTTATAAAAATTCTTGTGATTACATTGGGCCCACCCAGATAAGCCATTATAATCTCTCCAGCTCAAAATCTTTAATTTAATCGTATCTGCTATGTTTCTTTTACCATGTAAGGTAACATATTCATAGGTCCTAGGAATTATGCGTGTACATCTTTGGAGGACCAATAGTCAGCCTGCCACAAACTTGGGCAGGCTCTGGGGCTAGTAATGCTGTAATAGAGGTAAGTGAAGAGGTCAAGACAGCCTCAGGGACTGCACAGAAAAGGAAAGGGAGAAGGGAACTTACTATGAAGTGAGTACCAGGAAAGACAGCTGGGCAGGCTGAAGGCCAGTGTGTAAAAAGACATGTCAAGCTCAGGTGTGATCTAACCATATGGAAATAAAGATTACTCTCAGTTTCCATCAGGCTCTCTATCACAGTAAATTAACTTTTAATTTATTTAGTGGGATGGAGACGTGGAAAGTATGTGTCTGCTAAATTTGAAAATTAATTCCATTCGGACCACGAATTCTGGCAATCATTCCAGGTCAATGTCCTAAAAAGCATTTAACTGTACAGAGATATCATTTTTAAAACACTATTTGATGTAGCTTTATCACTTTTAATAGAGCTGCTGAGAAATGACACCATTAAATTTCAGAGATCTTTATATAATAATTGTATCTTTGTAGGAAGCATAAAGTTTAATAATTAATTCAGAGACCATGATCAATTAGGTATTCTAGGTGGGATGTTATGCATATACAAAACAAATACAAATAAGTAAAAACCAAAGCAATATTGGTTTTGGAAAAAAATGGTGAATTTGGTTTTTTTGTTGTTGCTTTGTTTTGTTTTGTTACAATTTCCCCGATCCATTCTCTTCCTCATTAAGTCCCACCTTATAGCCATAGGAAGTGAACATACTTTATGAATCTCTTTGATCTTTTTACCAGTATTTATTTACCAACTATAGAGTTTTAAGTTTCTTATTAAATATAAAATTAAATCATATACTTATGACCTAGAGAATGTTAAACCTACTAAAAAGTGGGCATCTGAATAACTTTGAAACCCTTAAAGTATAACATGTATACCAAACATCACCAGAACTTTTTAAAACAGTCTCTATTATATATATATATACACACATATATATGAATAAATAGACAAAATTCAATATTCTATATCACTGGGTAGAGTAGCAAATAGGAGTTCTTTTCCCAGTTTTTTTAAAAGTCTTTATTAAATTTGTTATAATATCGCTTCTGTTTTATTTTATGTTTTGGTTTTTTGGCCGTGAGGCATGTGGGATCTTAGCTCCCCGACCAGGGATCAAACCTGCACCCCCTGCATTGGAAGGTGAAGTCTTAACTACTGGACCGTCAGGGAAGTTCCTTTTTTCCCAGTTTTAACTCTTTAATAGATGAATAACCATAAACAGCTCATATAACTGCTCTAAGCCTTAGTTTCCTCCTCTGAAAAATGAAGGGATTGAATTAGGGGATTGCTTCAATCACTCTGACTCTTGAGTTCTATGATTTTAAGTCTGTGTGTCCTCATTACCCACATAGTAAAATCCCACTGTGGTGAATTTCATATAAGCTTTACAATTTTTAGTCAAAATAAAATGTTAGATGAGAATTCAAAACTAGAATTCACATATTGTTCCTATAGAACCTAGAGACTAAACAGCCAAAAGAGAGAAATTATTAAGGGAAAAGGAAGTCTTGGAGCCCTTTATTAAAAAGGAAGGAACATCAATTTCCTTCTGTCCCAGTCTGTCTTCTTACAAGCTCCTGGATGCTGCCTGTGTAGTGGGTACTCTGGGAATTCAAGCATATTTTCCCAGTAAGAGTTGAAATATAAGTGAGGCAAGAAAGCAAAAATGGAAGAATGGTTGTTAGTTGACATTTTTGACAAAAGAATTCGAGAACTACATATGAGCGTGATATTAGTTTTACAATGCAAACAGCACACAAACAAGCTATTTTGACCATGTGTGACAAAGGCCAAGAAAAGCATTTATAAAGAAGCATTCAGGGACTTCCCTGGTAGTACAGTGGTTGGGCACCTGCCTGCTAGTGCAGGGGACGCGGGTTCGATCCCTGGTCCAGGAGGATCCCACGTGCTGTGGAGCAACTAGGCCCATGTGCCACAGCTACTGAGCCCAAGTGCCGCAACTACTGAAGCCCGTGCGCCTAGAGCCCGTGTTCTGCAACAAAAGAAGCCACCACAATGAGAAGCCCGTGCACCACAATGAAGAGTAGCCCCCGCTCGCCGCAACTAGAGAAAGCCTGTGTGCAGCAACGAAGACCCGATGCAGCCAAAAATTTAAAACTTAAAAAAAAAAAACTTAAAAAAAAATAAGAAGAAGCATTGAGAGTATAGAGCCCACAGAAGACTGTGAGCCATTAGCAGAGGCAGAGAAATTTTGTTATGGCAAACTCTTTTTTGTAATTGTTTTCTTATAATTACATATTTAACTATAAATGCTCCCTTACCTGGCTGAGACATGCCTGGCTTGGCCACCTGCACTGGGTACCCCTAGTACCCACTGGCTGTGTGTTGAAAAGACCAAAGCATGTTTGCAGAGAAGAACAGATGGGTGCATATGCCCGTAGGCAGTTCTGTCTTCCCAGAAGAACCAGCTTGTTCTCGCAGAAGGGTTTAGAAAATGAGCTGAAGGAATCACTCTATTCAGACAAAGCAAAAACATCACCAATTTCCCCTTTCACATGCATAACTGGAAGCTATATACTTTAGTCCTCTTAATTACAAAAAGCCAGTAAACATATCTACAGCATATCTACCGTTTTCTATAACCAACTGAGAATGACTTTCATTAGATTTCATAGTTAATGAACTGGGTGTCTGGGAATTAGGGTGGGGGAAGGCATCTTTATTTCACTCAAGAATGTCTAAAATAAAACAAATTTGGCCACGGATGCTACTAAAAGCCTATTAAAAACAACATATCCCCTGACCACTAACCAAAGTTTGACCCATGATGAAGACCATGGTTTTATAGACAAAACAAATGCAAAATTTAAGCTATTACCTAATTATTTTTACCAAAGGCATCATCTGAGCTGCTTAGACCACAAATATTTGCTTTTTTCCTCTCTAAATCAGGTATATAATGTGGAAAATCTAGGTAATTTCCATTATCACATGGTAGGAAGTCTACAGTTTTTCAGGAAAAACCACATTCTCTAGTGAGCTCCAAATAAGAAAATGTCATTCATTCATTTTTCTGACTTGTTACTCATCACCTCATCACTGACTTCAGGGACAAGTGTGGCACATTTACTAATGGATAGGTATTCTTCCTGAGACCTGGTATGCCAATTACAAGGGAAGCTAGAGAACATAAAACCAAAAGAACATAGGCAATCAGTCCTGAACATAGTTGCTCAGAATCTGCTTAAGGCAAGCTGAGAGATACAGGCAGAAGTCCAAGTTGCCCAAACACTTTTGCAGCTTTGCAGTATCGTAGAACTTTAGGTCTCAAAAGGTAGGCTGATATCCCAACACCCAAGTGTGAGGCACTCACGAGGGGCAAGATCCAACTCTCTCATGGCCTGGCTTGCCCCAGTGGTGAGGCTTACAGTGTCCATGAAGAGAGATAAATGGCATATCCTGCAGGCAGTTGCATACCTATGAATATTAGATATTCATATATCTGTAGATATCATTCTTTAGACAGTTTTAAATATTAGATATTCACATTATTAATTTTATTCTTCTGAATGCAGTTTTTGAAAATGATTGAGAAGCAGGGTCTTCAAGGCTAAACATTTTATAGTAGAAACCTGAGTATGGCTAGGTTATGTTTCTAACTAAGGAAAGATCAATAGGCTTTCAAATCAACTGAAACTAGTGATGATCGTCTATGAGTGCTGAAGAGCTGACCTAGGACTCAAGGCCACCAGATATCTGCATGAAGGAACAATAAAGCCTAGGTCCCCAAACTTTGGGGCACCAGGAACTGGTTTCGTGGAAGACAATTTTTCCAAGGACCAGTGGTGGGGGGATGGTTTTGGGATGATTCAAGAGCATTACATTTATTGTGCACTTTATTTCTGCTATAATAATAATACATCATAATATATAATAATACATTGTAATATACATTATATAATATATTATAATATATAATGAAATAATTATACAACTCACCATAAAGCAGAATCAGTGGGAGCCCTGAGCTTGTTTTCCTGCAACTAGATGGTCCCATCTGGGGGTGATGGGAGACAGTGACACCCGAAGTGTGTTGCTTAGGTCCAGTCTACTCCGTAATCTTGTTCTGGTTGCTGTCACTGCAGAAAACCCTGCTTCACAAAGACAGGATGTTGGAAATGGAGGCAGGCTTTTCAGTGCTTTTGTGGCAATCTCAGGATATTCCACCTTGACTTTAATCCAGAACACATGGAGATTTAAAGTTGTCTCACACATATTTTAAGGCCACCGTCATTTGTGATCTCAAGCAGTTGATCCTCTTCTAGCATGGACAAAGTTGCTTCACCTGGCTTATTCAGAAATGGGTTGCGGATCCATTCCTTCCCAGTTCCGGGGTCTTTTGTGGTTGGGAAGTAATACTCAAACTCCTTTGAAAGCTGAGACAGGTGATCATGCACCAGCTAGGAGAAAGAAGGCCCTGGCTCAGTCCCTTTCAAAATCTCTGCAAATGTTTGAAATGTCAAATATCCCAGTGTTCACTCGTCGCCCCCATAATTCCAGTTTGGCTTTGAATGCAGCTAGTTCATTGAGCCGGTTGAATAGGTCACACAAGTAAGCACGTTTTTTATTTTATTTTTTTTAATTTTAATTTTTTTGGCTGCATTAGGTCTTGGTTGCTGCACGCAGGCTTTCTCTAGTTGCGGCAAGCGGGGGCTACCCTTCATTGTGGTCTGCGGGCTTCTCATTGCTATGGCTTCTCTTGTTGCAGAGCACAGGCTCTAGGCACGAGGGCTTTAGTAGTTGTGGCTTGCGGGCTCAGTAGTTGTGGTTTGAGGGCTCTAGAGTGCAAGCTCAGTAGTTGTGGCATACGGGCTTAGTTGCTCTGTGATAGGTGGGATCTTCCTGGACCAAGGATCAAACCTGTGTCGCCTGGATTGGCAGGCAGATTCTTAACCACCGCACCACCAGGGAAGTCCAAGTAAGCAAGTTTTGCAACCCATTCTGTGTCACTGAAATGTGCTGCCGGTGGTGGCTTTTTCTAAAATAAATCTTTGGAGCAGCTCTCGTAACTCAAAAACTCTGGCCAGTGATCTGCCTTTAGAAAGCCATCTCACTTCTGTGTATAAGAGAAGACATGTATGATCTGTGTCCATCTCCTCACAGAGCTGCACAAACAGATGTGAGTTAAGGGCATGTACTTTAATGTGGTTGGTAATTTTAATCACATCCTGTTAAGTTCAGGTGTCATTTTTCGGCTAGCCAGCATTTCTCTATGGATGACACAGTGCGTAGACTCACACTCAGAAGCGACCCCTTTGACCCGAGCAGTGAAATCAGAAAGCTGTCCAGTCATGGTAGCCGCTCCGTCTGTGCATATACCGACACAAAATGACCAGTTCAGTTTTCCTGATATGGAATCATTCAAAGACTTGAATAGTTCTGTAGCTGTGGTGTTGGTTGGCAACAAAAGTGCACATAACATATCCTCATGCACATCCTCCTGAAAAATATATCACACAAAAACAAGCATTGTTGCCTTGTTGTTAACATCGGTAGACTCGTCAACCTGGATTGCATACCACAGTGACACATTAATCCTCTCTAATAATTGTGCCTCAATATCCTCTGCTATTTCATCAACTTGTCTAGTTATGGTGCTATGTGAAAGAGGAACATGTGCCACCTTTTGAACTGCAGCCTCTCCTGAAAGTTCACAACAAATGTCCTTAGCAGCAGGCAGGATCAACTCTTCACCAACAGTAAAGTGCTTCTTAGCTTTAGCAATGTGGTTAGCCACTAAGAATGATGCTCTCAGTGCAGACACTCATCTTCGCTAGGGTTAGCTTGTGGGATTACCAAAACTGTGACTGAGACAAGTGCGCAGTGTGGGAAAGAGGTGCGGACGGGAGTGGTAAATAAAATAATGTGCGGGTCACATGTGGACTAAAATAAGTGTGGGATTCTGACTTAAAACCTGCCACCAGATGCAGCTGTACAATTGAAATACATCAACTTACTTGCCACTATAAAGCCTGCCACCAGACGCAGCTTAATTGTCACTTTCCACTCACTGATAGGGTTTTGATGTGAGTCTGCAAGCAGTTGATTTATTATGGTCTCTGTGCAGTCAAACCTCTCTGCTAATGATAATCTGTATTTGCAGCCACTCCCCAGCGCGAGCATCACCGCCTCAGCTCCACCTCAGATCATCAGGCATTAGATTCTCATAAGAAGCGCACAGCCTAGATCCCTCGCACGCCAGTTCACAGTACAGTTTGAGCTCTTATGAGAATCTAATGCCACCACTGATCTGACAAGAGGCAGAGCTCAGGCGGTACTGCGAGCGATGGGGAGCGGCTGTAAATTCAGATGAAGCTTCACTCACTCACCCACTACTCACCTCTTGCTGTGTGTCCCAGTTCCTAACAGGCCAAAGACAGGTACCGGTCCATGGCCCGGGGGCTGGGGACCCCTGCAATAAAGCACTGTCATATTGGAGGTCACCCACCTTCAAGCTACCAGTTAAGCTTCACCCTTGATGTAGCATATTATTCAAACAGAAAAAGAGAGAGTTTTAATAATATTTCATCCTTGCTTTTTATTTTTCTTTAAAATGGATTGAAATCTCCCTGTTATTTCATTTTGTGTGTGTGTGTATGCATGTGTGTGTACCGGAAAAACAGTCCAGAAAGGTAACAGAGAGATTGAATTAGAAATAATTTCTTCATTCCCAAACTGCTCTCCAAGATGCCTAAGCAACTAGATACTTCCGTTAAAACCAGTGATTGAGATCAGGGAGGACAAACAACTGATTAAATTTTCATCTAGTTATATGCTTCTGCCTAAAAAAGCTACCAGTAAATAGTCTCAACTATCTCATATGCAAAATGGTACGTCTCAAGGTGCAATTTCAAAATTCCTTCTAAAGATAAGCCATTGAGCAACAAAATCAACAAATTATCTGCTGCTAAAAGACGGGCAAAAATTACATTTTCTTCCATGTGACATCAGACAGAAATCACTCAAATTCAAAATAAGACATTAGCTCTGTGAAGTAACCAGATTAGATGTTTGTCTATTGCATTAGAGAAGCAAAGCAGCAGGACTGCTGTTGCATGTTCGTAGGTCAGTATGCAGCTCCTTGGAGATGTTGATCTGGAAATATAATAATTTAAAATCAGAAAGATTATCCAACCTTTTACTGGAGAAGAAAAAAGGACAATGCTTTTTCTCTACAATACCGGTTCAGTTCTTGGATATATTTTAAATTTTATTCAAAATTTTCTGTAAAATTTTTATATGTAGCACTCCATATAATATATCCATAAAATAAATAAAGATTCAAGGTAATAGTGTACTAATGAGCTTTAAAGAAACCAAAGGTATTTTCTATTCAAATACATGAAAGCTTTTGTTAACATTGTACTTGTTTTCATAGAAGTGCTAGAAAAGCTTTTCTACCAAATTCCCCTTTTCAACATACAATTTGCCTCTACTCTTGTAACATGAGCTTTCCCCGTTATGCTGCAAGAACCAAAGGTTCAATCGGTGAAAAGATTTCACAATATTTAAGCAGATGTTTAAACATCTGCTTCTGAGTAAACAAACAACAAGTAAGCAGGCCTTTCAGAGAGGTTCCCCACATGAAATTAGGTTCCATCATGTGACATTGCTTACTCTGTGCTGAGCAGTCACTTATGCATATTGGAAGGTATGGCCAGAGGCCTGAAATAACTCAAAGGTGAGACATGCTTTGGCCACAGACAATGTTCACGATGACTATGTAGGGCAACTGACAATGCTGGGGTCAGAGCAGACTGCAGGTGGGTTAAGTCTCATGTTTATGAGCATGACTTAGTAAAAAGGAACCAGAAGATTTTACTACAGGCTGAGCAGGCTACACACAACGAACGTCAGGATCAAGCAGAGTGAAGGAAGGAAAGCTGGCTTCCCTGGAGACAGCCTGAGAGCTGCTTGCCAGTCCCTGAAGGGGAGGCTGATGTAATGATGTATAACCTTCAGGTCACTGAGCTGCAGAGAACAGCCCAAGGGGCCCTTGGCAAAGATGGTGCTGCTTTCATCTGGTCTCATGTGGAAACATGTAAGTGGGAAATCAGAACTGAAATGGTTGGCTACTTAGGAACAAGACAACCTGGGTGTTTTATCTGCTGTAAGTGTGCTCTGGGTGTGCCCATGCCCATGTTCTGATCCTTGAAGGTCTCAGTGTGGCACCAGTGTGGTGGTTAATGGGACCTTTCATGGCTCCAGGAAAGAGCTCCGGACTGGGAGTTCGAGATATATAATAACTCACCTGTGAGCCAGACCCCACCTCTCCATTCAACTTCCATCTCCCAGAGTCTCACCTCAGCCCTTCATTCTCAACCCCTTTGTCTCGGCACTGGGCCAGTTGCTCATGTCCTTCCCAAGGTCATTTAAGGTCTCCTAAATTATCTTCCTGTCTCTGGTCTCTCATCTTTTCATTCCATCCTTCAAGAATTATCTTTTCAGGGTTACATTTGGTTTTTGAATACAAAAGTAAGACATGTAATACATGTCTGTAACAGAAGAGATGTTAAATATAAAAAAAGAAAATCACTCATAATCCCACTGTTATCTTTTAATGTATGTGAAATAAGTGAAACTCCTTCCTTCTCTCCTTTCTCTTTAGCATGCAGCTCTGTAGTCACCATCAAGAGATCATTTTATATTCTTCCAGATTTTATTCTATGCTTATATGAATATATATTTTTGTTGATTTTTTTCCCCAAATGAAAATAGAATCAGGTTATGAATATGGTTTTGCAATGTGCTTTTTGTTTTACTTATAGTGAATATTTTTGCAAGTCCATACATATGAGTCTACAACTTTCTTTTTAATTGCTATATGAATTTCCTTTAATGAATATTCTATATTGATTTAAACATTTTCCTATTAATTGAGAATTCTGCTTGTTTTTGGCTAATAAACAACACTGCAATGAATGAGCATCCATGGACATTTATTTTGTGTATAATTAAGCTAGTACTTCTGTAGGATAGACCCCTAGAAGTAGAACTTCTAGTGAAATGTTTAGGTCAAATGTCATGCATATTTTACTTTTGATAGCTAATGTTAATTTGGCTTACAAAAAGCTACATCTGATGGAGGAGCTTCAAGATGGCAGAAGACTAACACGTGGAGATCACCTTCCTCCCCGCAAATACATCAGAAATACATCTACATGTGGAACAACTCCTACAGAACACCTACTGAATGCTGGCAGAAGACCTCAGACCTCTCAAAAGGCAAGAAACTCCCTCACGTACCTGGGTAGGGCAAAAGAAAAAAGAAAAAACAGAGGCAAAAGAATAGGGAGGGGACCTACACATCTGGGAGGGAGCTGTGAAGGAGGAAAGGTTTCCACACACTAGGAAGCCCCTTCGTGGGCGGAGACTGCGGGTGCCGGAGCGGGGGAGCTTCGGAGCCACGGAGGAGAGCACAGCAACAGGGGTGTGGAGGGCAAAGCGGAGAGATTCCCACACAGAGGATCGGTGCCGACCGGCACTCACCAGCCCGAGAGGCTTGTCTGCTCACCCGCAGGGGCGGACGGGGCTAGGAGCTGAGGCTCGGGCTTCGGAGGTCGGATCCCAGGGAGAGGACTGGGGTTGGCAGCATGAACACAGCCTGAAGGGGGCTTGTGTGCCACAGCTAGCTGGGAGGGAGTCTGGGGAAAAGTCTG